CGGGACCCTACCCAGAGAAGGAGTGATGCCAGAAATGGAGGCAGAGATGATGACATGGAGAGATGGAGCAGCTGGGGGCTTTAGACCCAGAGAGGGAGAGGGGCTGTGTGCTGATGACCGGGGGAAGCTTGCAGGGTATACCCTTTGGCTGGTTGATGATGCATAGAGGGGATTGTAACTATGGCAATGAAATGATATACGATAGGATGAATGTAAAGCTAATGTTCTCCCTTGTAAGCTATCACATAATTCACAATAAAACACTAAAAAAAAAAAAAATGAAATGTAAGACAAAAAGATTCACATCCTAGACATTAGTGAGCTGAAATTGGCTGGTACTGGCCACTTACTTTGAATCTGACAATCTTATGGTTTACTATGCCAGGAATGACAAATTCAAGAGAAAATAACATTTCAAGATTTATCTTAAAGTATAATGCTGTTGGTGATAGTATAATGGCCATATACCTTCAAGGAAGGCCATTTACTACTACTATTATTCAAGTGTATGCACCAACCACAAAAGCCAGCAATGATGAACTTGAAGAATTCTACCAACTTCTTCAGTCTGAAATTGATCAAAAATGTAATAAAGATGTATTGATCATTACTGGTGATTGGAAAACAAAGGTTAGAAACAAACAGGAAGGATCAGTAGTTGGAACATATGGCCTTGGTGATATAAATGTTGCTTGAGGTCACATGATAGGATTTTGCAACATCAATGACTTATTCAATGCAAATATATTTTTAAAAAACATAAAAGGCAACTAGAAACCTGAGCCTCACCAGATGGAATATATAGGAATCAAATTTATTTTTTTTATAGGAAAAGCTCAATATCAGCAAAAACAAGGCCAGGGGCTGACTGTGTGTGGAACAGACCATCAATTCTTCCAGCTAAAGCTGAAGAAAAGTAAAACAAATCCACAAGACCTAGTATGTGACCTTGAACATAACCCATCTGAATCATCTCAAGAACAGATATGATGCATTAGACACTTATGATTAAAGACCAGAAGAGCTGTGGGATAACATCAAGAACATCATATAGGAAGAAAGCAAAAGGTCGTTAAAAAGACAGGAAGAAAGAAGAGGCCAAATGAATGTCAGAAGACATGCTGCAACTTGCTTTCCAGCGTAGAGATATTAAATCAAATAAAGAAATAAGGAAGTCAAAGAGGTGAACAGAAATTTTCAAGGGCAGCTCAAAAAGACAAAGTTATAATGAAATGTGCAAATGCCTGGAGTTAGAAAACCAAAGGGGAAGAACATGCTCTGCATTTCTCTAGCTGAAAGAACTTTAAAAACAAATTCAAACCTAAACTTGCAATATTGAAGACTTTTAGAGGCAAAATATTGAATGATGCAGAAAACGTCAAAAGAAGATATACAAAGAGCCATAGTATCAAAAAAGAAATGGTCGATGTTGAACCATTTCAGGAGATAACATTTGATAAAGAACTGATGTTACTGAAAGAACTCCAAGATGCATTAAAATTATTGACAAAAAAACAAGTCTCCAGAAATAGACTGTATACAAGTTCAAACGTTTCAGTAAACTGATGCAGTGCTGGAGGTGCTCACTCATGTATGCCAAGAAATTTGGAAGACAGCTACCTGCCAACTGATTGGAAGAGATACATATTTGTGTCCAGTTCAATGAGAGGTAACCCAATGGAATGTGGAACTCATTAAACAATTTCATCAATATCACATGCAAGGAAAATTTTGCTGAAGATAATTTTTAAATGGCTGCAACAGTATGTTGACAGGGAGTTGCCATAGATTCAAGCTGGATTCAGAAGAGTCATGGAACTCAAGATATCTTTGCTGATGTCAGATGGATCTTGGCCAAACCATAAAACACCAGAAAGATATCTACTTGTGCTTTATTGACTATGCAAAGGGTTTTGACTGTGTAAATCATGACAAGCTATGGCTAACATTGCAGAAAACTTAATTGCACTCATGATGAACCTGAACATAGACTAAGAGGCAATCATTCAAGCAGAACAAGGGGATACTGAAATGGTCTAAAATCAGGGAAAGTGTGTGTGAAGATTGTATTCTTTCACCATATTTATCGAATCTGTATGCTGAGCAAATAATCTGAGAAGCTGGATTATATGAAGAAGAATGTGGCATCATGATTGGAAGAAGACTCATTAACAACCTGTGATATGCAGATAATACAACCTTCCTTGCTGAAAGCCAAGAGGGCTTAAAGTACTAACAAAGACCAAAACTTACTAATACAACTTTCAGTATGGATTTAATTCAATGTCAAGAAAACAAAAATTATCACATCTTGAACCAATAAATAACGTGATTAGTGGAGAAAAGATTGAGAAAAGAAAAGATTGTCCAAGACTTTTCACTCATAAAAGCAGCAATCTAGAAATCAAAAGATGTATTGCATTAGGCAAATCTGGTGCACAAGACCTCTCTAGTGTTCAAAAACAAAGATGCCCATTTGAGGACTAAGGTAAGCCTGCCCCAAGCCATGGTATTTTCAATCACCTCCTATGCATGTGAAAATTGGACAATAAATAAGGAAGAAAATTGAAAAATTATGCATTTGACTTATGGTGTTGGAGAAGAAATATTAAAAGGACCATGGACTGCCAGAAGAACAGACAAATCTGTTTTGGAAGACGTATAGTCTGAATGCTCCTTAGAAGCCAGTAGGGTGAGACTTCATCGCTTGTACTAAGGATATGTTATCAGAAGCGACTAGTCCTAGGACATCATGCTTGGTAACGTGGAGGATCTGTGAAAAAGAGGAAGGCTCCCAATGAGATGGATTGGCACTGTAGTAGCAGCAATGGGCTCAAGTGTAACAGTTGTTAGGATGGAGAAGGATTGGGCTGTATTTTTTCTTTCTGTCATGTATAGGGTCGCTATGCATCAAAACTAACTTGATGTCACCTAACAACAGCCTCTATGTAGACCTTCAATACTATAGAGGGGGCATTCCTGAGAAGCAAAATTTCCATTCTTAGCCAGTCCTATATAGTTTTGTCAATTGTAATCTCTAATTGAAATTAAATTCTCTGGAAAGAAAAATTAGTAGCACTTGACCAGTAGATACATTTTCTTGATGAGTTTAACTCTGAGACTGCTGTCTATAACCACAGGACAGAGCAAAACATGTATTAGGTGAGAGAGGGACCTCTTGTTCTCAGAACTAAATCCAAGTGTCGTTTTATTTCCTCTTCTTTACCTGGGTGTGGCTTTTCTAATCTTGAGTTATGGCTTGCTGGGTTCCACTTCTCTAAAACAGATGAAGAAATCCTAAATAGAGCCACGTGATGGCCTGGAGGGGAAACAATTTTGGGTAACATGCCATATTCCAATTCTGCTTCTGCAATTAAAATAAAAGCAAGAAGGGGAAGAGGTAAAGAAAAAAGCAAAGGCCAAGTGGAAATAGTTTCTCGAAGCAGTGCTTTCCTCACGTTTTCAATTTCTTTCGTCCTGTTAGTTTTAATTTCGTTCCCATATTTAGATAAAGTATGTGGAAACAGAATGAGAAATCTATACCATACACTGATTTGTTAGGAAGCATGGTGTGAAATGATGCCTTTTAGTTACTGCATTTAGTTGCTTTGACCTCACTACAGCTATGTTTTTTACTTAGTGTTGAGATCTGGTTGTTGCCTTTCCACCCACCCCCCCACCCCACCCCCCGACAGCTGAGCAAACTTTCCCCTTGTATTCTTGAGGGATCCAGGACACACAAGAAGAAAAGGCAGCTTTACTTTGGAATAGGACTGTTTCAACGCAGATACTAGTTTGTTTTCCTTCCTGCTACCTACCCAGCGGAGTCCCAGCATGGCACTGTAGGATAAAGCCCTGGACTAGAAGATTGGGTTGAACCACAAGGTCGGTGGTTCAAATCCACCAGCTGCTCCTTGGAAACCTTATACAGGGTCGCTGTTGTTGTTGTTGTTGTTAAGTGCCATCGAGTCGGTTCCGACCCATAGCGACCCAGTACAGGGTTTCCAAGGGGTGTAAATCTTTACAGGAGTAGAAAGCCTCATCTTTCTCCCGCGGAGCAGCTGGTAGTTTCGAACCGCTGACCTTAAGGTTCGCAGTCCGATTCGTAACCACTACGCTAAGCGTCGGAAATGACTTAATGGCACTTAACAACAACAAAATCTACCAAGCAGAAAGACTTCGTCAACTAATTACAGCCTTGGAAACCCTAAATTTTTGTTGCTGTTAAGTGCCCTGGATTACGTTTTGACTCATAGTGACTCTATATATCGGGCTTCCAAGGAGCAGCTGGTGGATTTGAACCACCGACCTTGTGGTTCAAACCGACCTTGAGGTTCAGTGAACCCTACACTGGGTCATTATTAGTTGGAAACGACTCCATGGCATATGGTGTGGTGCTGTAGGCTTAGCAGGATTGCAAAATCGTTTTAACTACAAGGTCGGTGGTTCAAGCTAACCAGGCCCTTCTTGGAAACAGGGTCGCTATGGGTTGGAACCCACTCGACGGCACTTAACAACCACCACCTCCTACTCAGAGGCTTAGAAAAAAGCTGTGAGCTGTTTGCTGCAAAACACCATGGACAGCTCTCCAGGAGCCACCTGGTTGGCCCAGCGAGTTGGCTGTCCAAGATCCTCCCCTTCGCCAGTGAGGCCCAGTGGGGGCGGAAGGGGGTGGTCCCGTCACCCATCTTGGGCCCTAAAGCATTCCCCCAAGAGCCCCTCCCAGGCTCCCACGGGTAGCGTTGGTAAGCTCTAAAGATCTCACGCTAAGGAGCCAAGGAGGCCGAAACATCACTCTCTTCGCCTCCCCAGTGGTGGACCCTACAGCTAAAACCTAGGGAGGTCACATCTCAGGAATCGAAAATCGAAGCAAGGTGGCAGAGCCAGCAGGCAACCTGCAACCGGCCCAGCAGCAGAACCTCGCGTAGGCGGAGCCTCCATTCTTGACACCCCGCCCCTTCCACCGCGAGGGCGGACCTTCCGTCCCCTACGGCTGCGCAATGCGGAAGAGATGGGCCTGCTGGAGCGGAAGTGACGCTTCCGCCGGCGGCGGCTGCGGTAGGAGGAGGAGCCGGAGGAAGAGGTGAGTTAGCTTGTCGGCGAGGGGCGGGGAGCGACGGCGGCTAGACCCAGCAGCAGCCGGGCGGGCAGGCGTACGCTTCTTGAGGTAGTCTCTGCCTCTGCAGCCTGGGTGGGAACGGGGAGGCGCGGCTGCTGACCGCCGGAGTCCAGGAGGGCGGGTGGGGTTGTAAGGTGAGGACAAGGCGTGCGGGGCGCCTCGCCGGCCGGGGGGCTATATTGACAGTCGCTGTCAGCCTCCTCGCGGAAAGGCAGCCCAGTCTGTCTGGGAGCCGGGTCATCTCTTCTGACGCATCATGGAGGGTTTGGACTGCGGGGCGCCTCTGTCCTGCAGGGAAAGAGCCGCTTTCTCTGCGGTCGGCGACCCGGGATCCCCGAGAAATCCCGAGCGGCTCCATATCTAGTCGCGACTCTTCCGAGTGGCTATTCATATCCACCGGTGCTCATCTGCCGCCCGCTCGGAGCCGGCGGTGGACTGGAGGTGGGCGACAGGCGACGGTAACCTGTGCCGTTTCCCCTGCCCTTCGCCGCCGCCTCCGGGGGAGCCTGTGAGTCGGCTAATCCTTTCCCTGTTCTCGCTCCCTAAGGAGCTTTGAACCAGCCTGGTTAACATTTCTTCCTACCTTCTTGCCTCTCCCCCCAAGGAACGGCTTGAAGTTTCCGACTGGTTCTCATTTCAATGTAGTGACAAATTCTTTAGCAGGAAGCTGATAAACAATTGCGAACGAAATACGCTTAAAAATTTCCTCTTTGGTTAACATAAATTAAACGGAAAACTCCTCTTAACCAAACAGTTTCTGGACTTAGAGTGATAAAGCCATACCATGGAAACTGGTTTCCTCTTGCTTTTTGGTGAAATCAAGTGGTGACTTATTATTTGGAATGAGCCATTTTCCCTCTGAGCTCTTTTCCCCCCACCCTCCCTCCCTCCCCAACCCCCATGCAGATCTAGCAGGGAGGGACTTCTGGATCTTTGCAGTCTTTGCTGCAGGAGGAAACTCGCTTCATTTGCTTAGCTTTGCTTGCTTCTTCCACAGCGTTGCCTCTGAGGAAGGGAGAATGGCGTTCAGCAAAGGATTTCGGATCTATCACAAATTGGATCCCCCACCTTTCAGTCTCATAGTGGAAACTAGACATAAGGAGGAATGTCTCATGTTCGAGTCTGGGGCTGCGGCCGTCCTCTGTAAGTCATTGTGTTACAGCCTGGCTTGTCATTGTCTCTTCTATTTCAATGGGAAATTATTCAAATTCTGTTTATTTAATTTAAGAGGAAACCCTGACGACTCCCTTACTGTATTTCTTCTGGCAAATTGTGTGTGTATTTCTTTTTAACCAAACCTTGTTTTCTTGTAAATTGCCTCTTCTGCAGCGTTCTGTTGTTGCTGCTGGTTTGTGGTTATTGGAGCGACTTGCTGGTTATGGTTACAGTTCTTTTGCTGTTTCTAAAAGTACGTTTTTTTGTTGGTAGAAATGCTGTTTTTATCTTATCCCAAAAGCCCGTTAAGCGACTTGCTTGACATACTTACTGTGATGAACCGAATTTGTTATAGCTTGGTTAATAGTAATAGACTATGGGAGTATTTATTTGTCAAGTGTTGTTGGGATTGTGGTGAATTTTCACTGAGATGAATGTAAACAGCTTGTAGAATTCTATGTGAACTGTCGAGTGATTTAAATTTATTTTTTAAATCACTTATATGGTTTATTTTAAAGAAAAAGCTTACTGTGCCACAAGAAAGTCAATTATTGTGGTCTGGATTATTTTTGTAAGCAGACATGAGGTAAAAATTAATTTAATATTAATTTTTTTATTGATGTAATATTTAGACATATAACTCAATTTGAGGTTATTTCATATATAATTATGGTTTTTTTAAAAGTTTTTTTTCTGGTGATACCACTGTTTTATTAGGAGTTTTATTAGAATCAGTTAAAGTACTGATCCTTAGTAAGTCATGTTTTTATAAATGAAAAAGTGTTTGAAAGCATATTTACAAGCCCTTAGATATTTTATACTACTAAGCTTTCACTAGAGTAAGAGCTTTACTTTCACTAGTAAAGAGTAAGAGTAAGAGCTTTACTTTCACTAGTAAAGAGCTTAAAACTCTAATCTTTCCCTACAGAATATTAATGTTAAAGTGTTAACCTGATCTTAATACTCTGAAATAGTAAAATTTTATCCTGACTGGGGAAAAGGAAACGTAATGTAAATTCTTAAGCAAAGCACATTGTAAAAATAAAATTTTTAGTACTTACAGTACTAGTGGATTATGAACTGGTCTGATAATCACAAAGTCAGCAGTTCAAAACTACCAGCTGCTCCTCAGGAGAAAGATGAGGTTTTGTGCTCTAGTAAAGATGTACAGTCTGAGAAACCTTACGAAGGGTAACTGTGAATCGGAACCCACTCCACGGCACAGCATCACCACCATAGTAAGGTTTGAGTGAGGGGTAGAAGCTGTATGTTTTCTAATAAACAAGTAGAAATGGTAGTAGTTATACTTGATCAATGTGGATTTATATTTAGACTTAACTTGAAATATAACTTGCTACAGTATAAATTTCCATAGAATATTTTTGAAACTGAAAATATTAATGCTGTTCAATTCTTAATTTATAATATCTGAGGAAAAGGTTGGTTTGAGTACTGTGGAAATTGCTTGTGTTTACTGATGCCATTACCTGATTCATTAATTTTGTCTAAATTATAAATGTTTCTTTGTAGTATTGAACCCTGGTGGTGGTGTAGGATAGCGTTGGACTGCTAATCACAAAGTTGGCAGTTCAAACCCACCAGTGACTCTGCATGAGAAAGATGAATCAGTCAGTCTGCATCCATAAAGACTGACAGTCTCAGAAATCCTATATATGTTCTCTATGAGTCAGAGTCCACTTGATGATAATGGGAAGTGAAATTTTCAGTTACAAAGTATGTATGTATTACAGTTGTTAAGATTATTGCTATACATTTACTCCAACGTCAGGAAACCTAAGATTATTTCCAAATCTTTAGAAGCCATCTTTTATGCCAAATAATAGTTTAAACCAAACGAAACAAAACAAAAAACAAATGTCCATTTTGGTATTAATATTCATCTTAAAAAGATAATGTATTAACTATTGTTGTTAAGTGCCATCGAGTTGGTTCCAACCCATAACGACCCTGTATAGGGTTTCCAAGGAACAGTTGGTGAGCTTGAACCACCGACCTTGCAGATCAAATGGCTTTGCAGTCTGGCACATTAACCCACAGTGCCACACATCTTAAAATACTGTCTTAACTATTGACTTCTATTTTAATTAGACTTAGATTATGTGTGTAACTCAGAAGAAAAAAAATTTGTATATTGCCTGCCTATAAAGCTAGCAAAAATAATGCATAATTTCTCGGATGTTTTATCAGCTTTCCTACTAGAAACTGTATAGTAATAATTAAAATAATAATATTTAAGAACTACCAAATCCTTTTATAAATCATTTATTTGGCATTTGCTTTGGAGTGATGCCAAGGTGTATATTGTACTGTTGTTTGTTTTTAAACGTGCACATTGTATTCAGGGATTACAATCCTGTATGCATCCTATATATTAATCTACCAGAAGATTCTTAAACCAAAGTGCTCCACTATTTTTCAGTACGATTAAGTTGAAACTCCCCAATCTGTCAATCAAATCCTCCCATTATGTGACCCCACCCTGCTTGATCAGTGTTGATTCTTTTCAGATGACTGGTGTTTCCTCTAAATTACTTTCCAACCTTAGCCATGCTGTTCCTTGTTAGGCCTTCTTCCTCCTCACTTTTCTAATCGAGGCCTGTCAGTCCCAGCTGAAGTCTCCTACCTCCAGAAGACTCCTCCCCACTTGTTCCAGTGTACTTTTGTCACTACATTTCTCTCATTTCTATAGAATTTAGTCTCTGTCAGGAGCTCTGGTGACATAGTGGGTAAAGCACTTAGCTGCTAAGCAAAGCGCTGTCAGTTTGCTCTGCTTCAGAAAGATTGGAGTCTGCTTCTGTAGAGATTTATAGTCTTGGAAACTTTATGGAGTGTTCTACTGTCCTGTAGGGTCACTATGAGTATGAATTGACTTGATGACAATTGGTTTTATTTTGTTTGGCAGTTTTGGTCTGTATGTGATAGAGACTTTTTATGTGCGGTTTTGTTGTTGCATAAATGTTTGTATGTAGTTGTTTTTCTTGAAACTAGATGGTGAACGTGATTCAGTAGGACCCAGTCTTCATATACTAACATGCTGTGCAGTGCTTCATTGCTGGGCACGAGTGTGTGCAGTAAGACACATCCATCATAGGACAGTTCTGATGATTTTTAGCAAGTAAGACACCTAGGTGTGCCATCATTTAGACATTTTAATTAAATTGGATAGGGTTGGAAATTAAAATAGAAATAGTTAGACATTTAAAAGGAACCCTGGTGGCACAATGGTGTCTTCACCACTAAAAATCATCAGGATTCAACTACTAACCAAATGTTCAATGGTTCAAGCCCACCAGCCACTTCATGGGAAAAAGATGTGGTAATCTGCTTCTATAAAGATTTACAACCTTGGAAATCCTATAGGGCAGTTCTAGTCTGCAGAAAACAGTGAGTTGGAATCGACTCAAAGGCATTGAACTTTGCTTTGTTCTTTTTTTGGGGGGAATACATATTTTTAAAATCAACACTTACTATAGTAACTTAATTTTCTTCGGATGCTTATTATTTTAAAGTTTATTGTTTTAACAGGCTCCAGTTGCCCTTTAAAGAGCAAGGTTAACAAATTTAAATATGTTTAGTCAGTACACAGCCTTGAGGGTTTAATTTGTTGACTAATGCCTGAGGTAACTGAGATATACCAAACATGAAATCTTACCTTTCATATTACTAACAGATAGGGTGCAAGTAAAAATGTTATGAAAATTATCTAAGGCCATGAATAGCTGTAGAGATCAAGGGCCCATTAACCCAGCCTCTAGACTCTGTCTTTATGTTTGTATGGTTCTAGATTTAAATCAGTCACTATGCTGGGACTTAATCAAAGAGCTGATGGTTTTCACCCTGGCTGCACATTATAATCACCTAGGTGAAGCAAATCTTTCGGGATCTTCATTTATTGATGGGGCATGACTCAAAGTGAGAAGAAACAGCTGCAAACATCCACTGATAATTGGAACATTGAATATACTAAGTATGAATATAGGAAAATTAGAAGTCACCAAAAGCATAAAGATTGATACCCTTGGCATCAATACCAGTGAACTAAAATAGTTCGTTTGGTTTACTATGCTGGGAATGACAGTTTTCAGAGGAATGCTATTACATTCATCATCAGAAAGAACATTTCAGTATCTATTTTGAAGTACAATTCTGTCTGTGATAGGATGGTACCCATATACCTTCAAAGAAGATCAATTAATATGACTTATTCAAATTACCAAAGCCAGAGATAAAGAAATTGAAGAAGAATTTCTACCAACTGCTTCATTCTGACTACCAGCTGCTCCTTGAAAACTCTATACAGGGTCACTATGAATGGGAGCCAAATTGACAGTACACAAAATGGGAAGAGACCATGGAGCAGCTCAGTATCAGCAGCCAAAACCAGCTCAGGGGCCAACTGTGGAACAGGCTCTGCAAATTCAGGTTGAACCTGAAGAACATTAAAACAAGTCCACGAAAGTCAAAATAAATATGCCGTGGAGTCGGTTGCCACTCAAAACAACCCTGTGTAGGGTTTCCAAGGCTGTAAATCTTTATGGGAGCATAAAACCTCATCTTTCTCCTGCGGAACAGCTGGTAGTTTCGAGCTGGCCTTAAGGCTAGCAGCCCAACTCGTAGTGTATCCCAGCTGAATTTAGAGACTATCTGAAGAACAGATTTGACACATTGAACATTAATGACCAATGACCACAGGAGTTGTGGGATGACACCAAGATCATCCATGATCATCCATGAAGAAAGCAAATGGTCATTAAAAAGAGTAAGACCAAAGTGGATGTCAAAATTTCTGAAACTTGCTCTTGAGCATAAAGTACCTAAAGTAAGTGAAAGAAATGAAGTAACAGAGCTACAGAAAATTTCAAAGGATAGCTGGAAAAGACAAAGTGAATTATTAAAATGAAATATGCAAAGACCAGAAAACCATAGGGAAAGAACATTCACATTTCTCAAGCTGTAAGAACTGAAGA